TAATTATTTTAGGGAGACAGGGTCTTGTTAAGCCACTAGATTTCCCAAGATGAGCTCAGTCTTATGATCCTCCTGCCTCATTCTCCCTGGATTATAGGTGTGTGCCATCGTGCCTGGCTTGTTTTATTTTTATTTAAAGGAACATAAAGAAAAGGAAGAGGTGCGTTAGATGTCTGACTGAGGCTCTAGGACTGGGGCTCGTACAGCGTCAGCCTTAGGCGCAGGTCTGGCGACCGCGATGCCTAGTGCCAACCCTTCCCCACGGCCTTGGCGCCAGCCCCAGCATTCTCTAAGGCAACAAGTGAGCTCGAGTTTTACTTTTCACATTTCCAGAACCAGATCTGCATTGCTGGTTCTTAATTAGGAGCTCCAGTTGGCACTGTTATGCTGTAATTAGCAAAAGCCAGGAGTCGCGATGTCCATAGCGTCCCTCAGAGGAGGACACTCAGAGGCAGGGGCAGCCTTGGCTGGGAGACAGGACACGGGGTCCTTTCCTCTCCACTCTGAACTGTGGTGGCTTATTTCATAGTTTTTTTAGACAAATTAGGAAAACTCATCGCTGTACTTTTCCTTGGTGCCAGAGAAAGAGAAAACCCAGAAAGGCAGCCACAGAGCCTAGCAGCCAGAGCCACTGCCAGAGCCACGGAGAACAGTGCTGCAGGCTCCGCCTCTGGCTCCCGCTGCACTGCTGCCTGCGGTGGACTGGAGGCAGAAGAGGGCAGGCGGGTGCAGCAGGGCACACTTCCACCCTCCACAGGCGCCCTGCCGCCAGGGCAGGCCCTGCTCCGCACCCGGGAGGCCCAGGGTTGCCAGACCTAGCTGTGTGGTGGTCCCAGTGGAACTTGTCCCAAGCCTCTTAGAGACCCAAGGCTCGCGCTGAGACCCTGGTTCTGGGTCACGGATGGGCCTAAGGCTCCCCTCAACTCCTGAGGATGCGCAGGGTCTCACTTGCTAGGCAAGCCACTGCCAGCAAGCCTCACACCTCAGCCCCGGAGTTTTCTTTCAATGCGAGTCCACCTGTGACTGCAGAGCCCAGCAGGCCTGGGAGGCCGAGAATGTTCTGCCCTCTGGGCAGCGTGAATGAAGACGGCAGGACTTCCTGTGTGCTCTGAAAGGGATGTAACTGGGCACATTTCCCGCCAAGCTGCCTGGCTAAGCCCTCGCCTGTGGCTTACAAGCCAGGCAGTGCTTTGGGGGACCCTTCCGCACAGAAGTTTCTGCAAAGCAAGGGCCTCGCTCCCGGGGGTCTGCGCTGCCGTCCCTGGCTGCTCAGCCGCCGTCCAGGCAGCCTGCTCTCCCCGGGCCCTGACCTCCCCCGAGGCCTGTCCACCGCGACGGGAAGCAGTGCGGGCGCAGGTGGATGGTGCACGGTCTGCGTGTGGTGTGGTACTCATCCTTTTTTCTGGCTATCAAAGGTGCAGATAATTAATAAGAAGCTGGATCTTAGCAACGTCCAGTCCAAGTGTGGCTCAAAGGATAATATCAAACACGTCCCGGGCGGCGGCAGTGTGAGTACCTTCACACTTTCCATGCAGCGTTCTGTGGTCTCCTGCGAGGGGGCATGAATGTCTACGCCTGCGAGGCATTGCAAAGAATAAATCTTCGTGGGCTCAGGATCTCCCGTGGACCCCAGTGTAGTGGGGCTCAGGACCTAACCCGCACTGTCTTGGCTGTTCCCAGGTCCTGTGCCCATGGGGCTGGGTGGGCAGTGCCCAGGCAGGCACTGATGCCACCCTCAGGCCCTGTTAGCTTCTCCCCCAGCCCTGGGCAGGCTCGCTGTAGGCAGCGCTGCTGCGGGCAGGGCAGGCAGCCCCCCCCGGTCTTCCTGCCCCAGTCGCGGGCCAGCGCGTCCAGGCGTCCTGCACCTCCAAGCCAGGAGCCAGCTCCGGACCCTCGTAGTGCAGGTTTATGCGCAGCTCCCGTCCAGGTGAGACTCCTGGTGCAGAGAGCCAAACAGATGCCACAGGGGTCACCGTGACAGAGCGGTGCCGCCTGAACACCCTGAAGGCAGTTTCCTCAGAACACCCGGGGGAACGCCCTGGCCACAGTGTGTGTGCGCCTGGGGCTGTGGGACCTGGTCCTTGCCCCCAGGTCCTGAGCTCAGAATCTGGGTCACCCTGCTGCCGCCCTGTGTTCATGGGGCGTGCACGCTCCTCCCCAGGCTCTTCTGGGTGAGCAGTGAGCGAGCTCCTGGGCTCTGGGAGATTTGGGACCTCAACCAGGCGTGGTGGCCTACAGCCCGTTTCAGCACTCTGGGAGGCTGAGGCAGGAGGGCTGCAAGCTTGAGCCCAGATTGAGAAATTTAGCAATTTGGTGAGACCTTGTCTCCAAAGGAATTTTAGAAGAGGGGGAAGCTGGCTGCCGAGAGCCCAGCCCTGCGCAGTGCCCTGCTAGACCCTTGCTGAGCGAGCCTTGCCGGGTCTGGCCCAAAGCGTTTATTCTTGCAATGTGCTGTCTCTCGCCCTGAGCCCCTGCCCTCCTCCTCCCTGAGGCCTCTGAGCAGCAAGCGCTTGCCCTTCGGCCGCTGCATGGGCTTCGCTAAGGCTTCCTCTGAGTGTCTGCTAAGTATCTGTGCTGTCCCCGCTGCGCGCCTGTCCCTCCCGCTTGCGTGTCTCTGTGGAGAGGAGAGGTTGCGGACCACATCCGCCGTGGCTGCTGCTTGCACCTGGGCCCCGCGTGGCTGTTGTCTGAGGCCTTCTAGCTGAGTCCTGCTTCTGGCTCCTGTGATGCCTGCTCAGGCCAGAGGAGAAAGGCCGTGAACGGAATAGTTTCATTCATGATCCTACAGTGGAAGACAGGAAGAGAGAACAAGTGGACAGGGTGGCCTGCTCCTCTGGTGCCACCCTGAGAGGGTGGGTGTGCAGGCTACGTGGGCCTTCCTTCAGTGCCTCCTGCGCTGTGCCCGCCTGTGGGCTAGCCTGGGCCCTTAGACAGAGCTGAGATAGCCAAGACTGACCCCGAGTGCTCTCCCAGGTCTTCCGAGCAAGCCTTCTGGAGAAATGTGGTGGTGATTTGAGTCCTTGCACACGGCCAGCCTCTGGCATCTTGGGGCACTAGACCTGCTTCCTCCGTGCCCAGCCCAGGTTTGGAAGCGTGGCTCAGTAGGAAAGCCCTCCCCTTCTCCACTTCAGCCGCCACCATCCTAGCTGGGCTTTAGGCCCCTCTTCAAGTCTCTCTGTCTAGTCCTCCTGACCACCTGCCCAGGGGCTCACCCATTGTTCCTTTCTCCTCTGGCCCTTCCAGCTTTCCTGTCCTGCCCGCCTCATTGTGGTTCTGTCACTATTGACCTTGCCCAGGCCCGAGGGCAGGGCATGTGGCTCTGATCGCGGCTGCACTGCTGTGGCCTCACCATCTACCTTCTTCTGTCCACTCAGCCCGGAGCTCGTGCTGTCCCCAGGCCTAGCTGCAGTTGGTCCTTATCCTCTAAATGTGGCTTCTTCCAGTAAACCCAGCGTGGTGGCGCACGCCTGTAATCCCAGCACTCGGGAGGCTGAGGCAGGAGGATCACAGTGAGTTTGAGGCCAGCCTGGGCTACACAGTGAGTTCAAGGCCAGCCTGAACTACCTAAGTGAGACTGTCTCAGAAAACCACATTTTTTGGCTCCTTCCAAATGTCCCTGCAGACCCTGTGTCTCCTGTGGGTGAGGACTCAGATCCTCACTCCCCACTTGCCTCCTTCCTGTGCTCAGAGATGCTGGCCGATGTCTACTGGGCACATGAGCAAACCCACCCTCAGCACACCCCCCGCCCCCGCAGCGCTCCAGACCTGCTGCAGGTGCACGGAGCACCCGGGGACCAAGGCTCAAAGCTGTGAAGGTTTATGCTCTTGCCTGCCCCTGTAGTGCAGGCCGCGCCCTCCCCGTGTGTGCCTGAGCTTCACTTACCTCCACTGATGCCCAGCAAAGGCAGCATGGCCCGAGCTGCAGTAACGTGAGCGTTCCACTGGGATCTAAGCAGACTCCTGTCGTCTGCTGGCAGTGAGCTGACCCTTACCCTTGGAGGCCGCCTGGCTCCCAGAGCCTCCCATGTCCACGTGCGCGCAGTTGGGAGGTGCTGGGACCCAGTGACTGGCCACCAGGCCCCGCACAGCCGTAGCTCTGGACCCCAGCGGGCCTGAGGTCAGCGGTGGCCCGGGCTGTGGGCCTGTGTGGGCTCTTGTGGCCTCCCCACAGGTCTGAGTGTGCTCACGTGCGCTGAGGCCCTAAAGCTGTGGTTTCTGCTGTGCGCCATCCTTTGGTGCCACTGTGCTCCTCTGGTGGCGGCCTGCGTGTCCAGGACCCTGGAGGCCCAGGTGCCGCTGGCTCTTCCCCGGATGGCTCAGCCGGTCTAGGCCTGCGTGCGGCTGTTTTGCCCTGGTGCGGGAGCTGAGGTGTTGGGCGCTTGTGCAGCAGAGCCCACCCCCCTTTCCCCAAGGCTGCCCCCAGGCCCCTCCTGTACTACACTCGTCTTCCCCAGCAGCCTTTGTAAGGGCTGCACGTGCTGATCATGTTGGTCACCTTCGCAGTGTCTTCACTGAATGTGGTCAGTTTCCTGTCAGTAAAAGGAGTAACTTGTACTGTGAAGTACTCGCTACAGAAACGGTCTGAGCCTCCGGGGGCCAGCTGTTCCTGTTTTCCCCTGAGAGCCCTGTGCTCTGCAGGGCTGGAAGATACTCCAGCCCCACCCTTACTTTGTGAAGACCTCGCTCTCCTGGGAGCAGGCTGGTCAAATTTCAACAACACGGTTTTCCGCCCCTCGCTGGGTGTGTTTCTTGCTGCAGACGGGAGCAACTGCCCCTCGCTGGGTGTGTTTCTTGCTGCAGACGGGAGCAACTGACCCGGGCTTAGACAGCTGCTTTCACTGTGTTACGCCCACCCTAAGTAACGGTCTCATCGTTTCTGCCCTGCAGGTGCAAATAGTCTACAAACCCGTGGACCTGAGCAAGGTGACCTCCAAGTGCGGCTCCTTAGGCAACATCCACCATAAACCAGGTAGCCCTTGTGAGAGGAGGGGTTGGGACGGGAGGTGCTGGGTGTGAGGCGGCTGGCGGGATCCACAGCCGAACCAGCCAGATACAGACCACGTGGGCCAGGAGGCAAGGCTGCCCGGCTGCGCGCAGGGCAGGGAGGTGCTGGTCTTGGCTCAGCCTCAGCTCTGTGGCAGGCGGCGGGCAGTGTGGGGGGCTGGCCCAGGGCTGTTCTGGCCCCCAAAGGGATCCGAAGCCACGCGGGATTCTCTGCATACCGGCTGCAACTTGAAACACTTGGGCCAGCTGGGGTTTTTTTGTTTTTGTTTTGATGAACTGCGGATTGAACTCAGGGATTGAACTCAGGCCCTTGCATTTGCCAGGGAAGTGCTTATTCCACTGAGCCATGTCCCTGGCCCCCCAGCTGGGGTTTTTAAAACAGAACATGCAGGTGCCAGAGCTCGCCCAGGCCTCTCCTCACGCCGCCCTGTGGGGAAGCTGGCACTGTCCACCCGGCCATCTCGGTGGTAAAATCTGTGTCTGTGCTGTCCAGCGTCACCACAGAACACTGGCGGTGCGTCTAGTGCTGCTGAGGGGCTGACTTTATTTACCTGGAATTTTAGTACCTGCCTAGCATGAAGGGCCAGGGAGAAGGAGAGAGGCTCAGGGTCTTTTTTTTATATTTATTTATTTATTTATTTATTTTTGTGCGGTCCCTGTGCTTTGTTTAGCTTAGCTTGTTCTAAGTAGGTGCCTTAGACCACTGAGCCATCTCACCAGCCCCGAGGGTCAGGGTCTTTAGGGGGGCTTTTTGGTGTTCGTTTTGTCTTTTGGATTTTTTTTTTTTTTTTTTTGGCAGAACAGGGGATTGAACTCAGGCCCTTGCGCTTGCCAGAGAAGCACTTATTCCACTGAGCCATCTCCCCTGTATGGCTCAGGCTGGCCTTGAGCTCACTGTTGTAGCCCAGGCTGGTATCAAACTTGCAGTGATCCTCCTGCCTCAGCCTCCTGAGTGCGGAGATGACAGGTGTGCTACACCATGCCTGACCTAGGATGTTTAGTTTGATATTCAGTTTGATTCCAGGGGTCCTGTGGGGTTGTAGTCTATGGGGTTTTTTTGTTTTTTTTAATGCTGGCTCAGCCTACCCTGAGGGCCGAGCTGGCGCAGCATGTGGCGCGAGGAATCCAACCAAGGTCCCCTGCGCCTGCCTAAGCCTACCTAAGCAGCTGCTTTAGACCACTGAGCTATCTTGCCGGCCCCTACAAGATTTTGATATCGAAAGATGTCTCACCTTGGAAATCAGTCAGTTTAGAATTTAACATAATTTCTCCTGGAATGAGCTGTTGTTTACTTTTGTAACATCTAAGGAGGAAGAGCTTGCAGAGTAAATCTTGGATGCGTACCTTGATTAAGAGGAGGCAAGGGCCGGCCAGATAGCTCAGTGGATTAAAGCCCCCGCAAGCTGAAGCAGGGGCCGGGGTTTGATCCCTGTACCTGCTGTGATGGCCCCACCCCAGGGCGCGCTGAGATGGCAATTGACACTGGGCGTGGTGGCACACGCCTGTAATCCCAGCTCTTGGGAGGCTGTAAACAGGTGGATCGCTATGAGTATGATCTAGTAGTGAGACCCTGAACACCCTGTAGACCCTTCCCTAAAATACAAAAAAAAAAAAAAAAAAAGGCAAACTGCTTTATAGGTCTGGGCAAGGACTGCTAACCAAATCCATTCTAGTGGAAGGCGTCCCGTCCGTTCCTTAGTGGCCCTTCCTGGATCAGCTTGCTCAGCCTGGGGGGCCGTGGTGCTGTCATGCCGAGCTGTGCCCCAAGTGGTGGGGCTGCGCAGACTGTGTCCCCAGCAGGCCCAGCTCCTGTGAAGGCTGCAGACCTCGTCTGATGTAGGCCAAGTCCACTAAACCATACAAGAGGCTTTTCCGTGTTTGTGTTTCAGGAGGTGGCCAGGTGGAAGTGAAATCTGAGAAGCTGGACTTCAAGGACAGAGTCCAATCGAAGATCGGGTCCCTGGACAACATCACCCACGTCCCTGGAGGAGGGAATAAGAAGGTAAAGGAGCCCCTGCTTAGGGAAGTACAGGGACTGGGGTTCCACGCCCGGTACCCCATGCTGTGCTGGCCCCACTCCCGGGGCAAGCCCAGCCCGTGAGGGAGTCCGGGCGGGCGTGGTGGTGCATGCCTGCAAACCCAGCACGGGGGAGGCTGAAAACAGGAGGATCACTATCAATCCAATTCGCATAGTGAGACCCTGTACAAAAAAAAAAAAAAAAGAAAAAGGCCAGGGCAGGGAGGACACTCAACATGGGTGTGGGTGTCGAGTGACTACGTGAGGCCTGTCCAGTTTTCCAGGAAGGAATCAAAGCAAAGGCTCCTGTAGGTACTGGCTTGATGTGCACCCTCGGGGGCAGCCAGAGCAGGGCATTGGGCCCACATTAGCTGCCAGTCATGTCACTTGAGAGCTGGGACAGGTGTGAGGCTAGAGCTGTGCGCTGACTGGTTTCAGGTACAACTGGGCGTCTGGACTCTCTAAAGCTGCCAGATGAGTTTTAATGTCACCAAAAGTGAGCACTGCAGTCCTAGGCCTTGGGCTGCAGGTGCACCCGAGAGCACATAGCCGTGCCCAGAGCTGACCCGCAGCGTCAGGCCTAGGAGCAGCGCAACAGCCCAACTGTCTGGTTTGGCTGCTGGGTGATAGTGCAGGGCAGTGATGCTGAAGGCTCTGCCTGCCAGCCGTGGAAGTGTCCGTGTGGAGCTGCCAGGCCACTGAGCTCCCAGGGGCTCCCGGCTATGGGCATTATGCCGCCCTGGGACCCTAAGCCAGCTGCCCTCCCAGCACCGTGGGACTGTGGCTGCTCTGTGTCTCTTGTGCGCTTCTGTGGCCCAGTGTCTTTCTGGGGCTTCTCACACACACCTGCTGTGGAGTCTGAAGGTGGCTCCTGTTCCAGCCCCTGGTGGCTCCTGCAGCTGCGGGGAGAGTGGCAGACAGAGAAGGGGTGTCCCAGAACAGGCAGAGATGCAAACCCAACCTACTGCGAGAAGGCACAGCTCAGGAGCAGCAGCTGGGCTCTTATCACCTCGCTGTGCTGAGTGACAGCCTGCAGTCCCCCACCCTGCAGCCTCTGACACCTCTGCCCGATTGCACGGGGAGGTGCACCCCATTCGAGCTGTTCAAAGCAGCAGTGTAGCTCCATGGGGAAGCATGTGCAGGTGTGATCCAGACAGGGTCCAGGGCTGAGGGGAGTTGAGGCCACACTTCTGGCTCCTGAGGGCGCCTACTCTGGTCTCTCTGGAGAAGTGGAGTGGAAGTTTCGGTGGCCCCTCTGCTGCCCAGGTGCTGGCGCTCTTCCCGCTACCTGGGTCAGTGTCCGAAGCAGGAACATGGACCCGAGGCAGAGCGCCCGAGGAACAGAGCACAGCCCCCGGAGGTGGAGAAGGTTCTCTGCCAGAGCCCAGGGTCCATTTCTGTCCCCCGCCTGCCCTATCTAAAGCGAGGCCTCCTGGGGTGCTTTGGTGGCTCTCTGGCCCGCGCCAGCCCAGACTCTGGCCCACTTTGCCCGGGAAAGGCCTGCACTGTTGAGATTCCCTGGCTGGAGGAAGGCTCATGCAGTCTCTGGAAGCTTCCATACCCTGGAACAAGTTCAGGGCTCGACTCTGCTTGGAGATCTCATCTAGGCCAGATCTGTGATCTTCAATCTCTGTTTTTTCTTCAGCAAAATAGGGTGTAAATAGCTACATCCCAGCGACCCTGAGACCCACAGGGACAGTGGTCTGGAAGCTGCTTGGACGTCACAGTCTCTGAGAGCCTGAGTTAGGGACACCGCAGAGCCCAGGTTCTCGGTTCCTCTGTCGCTTACTTATTCAAGTGTGTTGGCCCAGAAGGGTAGGCAGACGCCGCTCATCCTCAGAGCACCATCAGGGATGACAAATGTCCTCGACCCTTGGGGATTTCCTAGTGTGATGAGTGAGAGCGCCAGCGGTCCAGAGCCCAGGAGCAGGCCGGGTTCCTTTCAGTTTCGGGATTTTAGCAATTCTTAGGTATGGATTGTTTTGGAAGAAAAAGGCCCTGAGAAAGCACCAGTATGCTCATCAACATGTTTCTCAAATAGTCTCTCAAACACAGTACTGTGGAAGGGGTCTCCTGCAGAACAGGGCCCCAGCCATGCGTGGTGGTAGACACCTGTAATCCCAAGACGCTGGGAAGCTGAGGCTGAAGGATGCAAGTTTGAGTCCAGCTTGGGCAATCTGGCAAGCCCCTGGCTGTCTTGGCTCCTCTTCTCTGGTTGCTGGGACAAATACCCGCCACTCAAGCTTAGGGAAGGAAAGGTTTGTTTAGCTCACAGTTATAGTTACTAAGCTTCCAGTAATAGTTTAAAGCAGCCTGAATTACATAGCAAGACCTCGAGACACTGCTGTCTCCCGCTACAGGATCTGGAAGAGAGGCTGGGGCGCCACCTTGTCCAGGAGGATCCGCTCCGTCCCTCCAGGAGTGCACCCCAGGCCTGGGGTAGGGAGGGCCTGCTGTCAGTTTAAGGGCTCCTCCTCTCTGGCCCCGCCCCTCGTCCAGCGCAACTGCCGCAAGATTTGCATGAGGCTTTGGGGGGACAACTAGATACAAACCATAACACTGTCAGAATAAAAATGAAACCATGGGGCTGGGGAGATGGCTCAGTGGAATAAGCGCCTGCCTGGCAAGCACAAGGGCCTGAGTTCAATCCCCGGTTCCGCAAACAAATACGGGCTGGGATTTCACACAAATAAGTGTGAAGGCTCTGGATCCAGTGCCAGTACTGCAGGACAAATAAGAACGACCCAAGTGAGAAGCACGGATGCAGCACTCACGGGAGCCTGGTGTTCCCGAGGCCCCCGTGGGTGTCCGGAGGACTGGCGGGGTGCGGCTTCACACGTGAATGCATGTATTCTGGCTGCACCAGACGCTCGGCGTGAGGACCAAGGAGATGCTGAGAACCAGGGTCTGCTGGGGCCGGTTAACTGCTCTCGGGACGACGCTTCGCCTTCCGTTTCCCAGCGTGCTCTGCGACTCAAGCCCTGTTCGGATTGTCACCCGTCCCTAGCAAGGAGGAACACGGGCGGGTTGTGGCTGGCTTTGGTGGCTCTAGACAGGTCTTGGTCTGTAGCTTCTCCGTCAAGACCTTCAGCTGCAAGTGGGCAGGGATCAGTGCTCAGAGCCTTCGCGTGCGGCGCTGTGTGTGACAGCGGAAAACCGCCGCGCGTTCCGGGGCCCTGCAGGGCGCGGGTGACTGCAGCACGCTGCGTCCGTGGTCTGTCGGTGGCTTGGGCTGGGGGGGCCGCAGGCCGAGGAAGCAAGCTCTGCACGAGGCAGAACTCTGAGGCCAAAGCGCCGAGCCAGTGTGCTGCTAAACGCGCACGTGTGCGAGGCAGGAGAGGGAGGCCGTGCACAAGCCCGGCCGCCGGGACCATCCAAAGCCCGGCTTTCTCCCCCGGCCCGAGGGGCAGCCACAGGGCTTGGCCCCTTTCCCTGGCGCCCGACCCACCCTTTCCCCCATCTCGTCCCCATAGATCGAAACCCACAAGCTGACCTTCCGCGAGAACGCCAAGGCCAAGACTGACCACGGGGCGGAGATCGTGTACAAGTCACCGGTGGTGTCAGGGGACACGTCCCCGCGACACCTCAGCAACGTCTCCTCCACTGGCAGCATCAACATGGTGGACTCGATGCAGCTCGCCACGCTAGCCGATGAGGTGTCCGCGTCCCTGGCCAAGCAGGGTTTGTGATCAGGCCCGGGTTGGTGATCGCGGAGAGGAGAGGAGAGACGAGAATACTGACCTGGCCCTTCGCCCTCTGCCCTCCCCTGCTCCTCACAGACGGCGCAGTAGGGGCCTCACCTGCCCTGCTGTGTCGCTCGGCTTCGGCTTGGGACTCCAAAATCAGTGATGGGAGTAAGAACACATTTCATCTTTCCAAATTGATCAGTGGGCTAGTAATATTTTAAAAATAGGTAAACATGGCCACACCCAACATTTCCTCTTGATCCCCCCCACCACCCCTAAGTAGAAGACAGTGAAAGATAGGCTTGGAAAGCGGTTTTGGGGGCTTTGAGGACGGGTGCTCACCGCCTCTGGCCGCCTTCTGGGGTGTCACAGGGTCAGCAGCTGCCACAAAGGATGCAAAACTCGGTATGTGTGTGAGCCACAGGCAGTGACAGCAGCCGCATGTGGTGGGGTGGGGACATGGCAAGGGTGGGTGAGGGAGGACAAGCTGGTGTGAGGGAGGAAGGGACAGGAAGAGGAAGGGGACACTGCCACCTGCAGTGTCAGGGGGAGAGCAGCAGGGCAGGCCAGGGGCCTGTGACCCTCACCACCCCATCTTACAGCTTCCTTTGTTGGCTGGGATGTGCTGAGGGCAGTGTGCTCCCCTGGAGGGCTCCTGTGTGGAAGGGGCAGTGGGCAGGCACTGTCTGGACCTCTTCTTCAGACTGACCTTTACGCCCAGAACTCCAGCCTTTTCTTCCTCCCACTCGAAGGTGGCTCTGTCCCCACTCCCAAAACCTTGCTATACTGAATTATGAAGACTGAAACCACAGCCACGATTATAGGCACCTCCAAGACTGGGTGGGACTTGGGGCTGAGCAGGGCTCTTTGTAAGGACTTGTGCCTCGGGAGAGACCCGGCTCTTCCCAGCCTGGGCATTAGGGCCACGCAGGGTGGGTGTGCCTGGCCTGGATCTGAGCCTCCTCTCCCTTCCATGGCCACCGCAGGCCTCCACCTGTCCCTCTGTGCCCCACGTGCACCAGTGGGCTAAGTGCCCCCTGCCCCACCCCAGTCAAGGACCCTGGTTAGATGCGGGCACCTGCTCCACAGTGAGAGCCCAGGCACAGGAGCTGGGGCTCTGCCTCTAGCTCTGAATTCCACTTGTCCAGCCGATGTGCCTGTCCACCAAAACTCCAGTGACCTTTTTTGGTTCTCTCCCTGCCCCATCACATGAGAGCCCGGGGGGGCTGCCTGGGGCTGACCTTTGCCTTGCTAACTTGGAGACTGTCTTTCCTGCCCCAGCCTGGTCCCCAGCCTTCCTGTGCTGTGGGGGCAGGAGAAAGGGCGTCCCGGTGGTACTAGTGGCCCCAGGAGGGGCAGACACGAGTCCCACAGTAGGGTCACACTCCCTCTGCTCCCACCCCCACCCCAGTTGTGCCTGCCAGCCCCCAAATCCCATGCTATTCAACTCCACATGCATGGAATCAGTACCCCATACCGAGGCACGCGCCCCTTGGAAATGGTTCTTACCCAGTCCCTCTGGCAGCGGCGCCGTCTGATCTGTGGAGCAGCTGAACATCCGCATAGATGTTGCCCTTCCCTCCCCATCTGCACCCTGTTGCATTGTGGTTGGCCTTGTCTTTTTATGTTTGGATTCACAAGAGTGACTATGATAGTGAAAAGAAAAAAAAGACGCATGTATCTTAAAATGCTTGTAGCGGTCTCTTGTGCAGCCTCCTGTGGGGCTGGGTGTCGCGCACCCGCGTAGGAGGTGGCTGCAGGACAGAGTGCACCCCCTCCTGTGCTGCGCAAGTTTTAGGTTTCACAGCATCTGGGACCCCCGAGTCCAGACCCGGCCAAGGACACCCTTCCGTGCCAGCCTGAGCCCAGTACCACAGCAGAGGCTTGGCGTTGCCCTCACCCCAGGCTTGCTGTCAGAGCCATCGGCTGGCAGCTTGGAGCTGGCCTTCTCTGGCCAACGCCTGAAGCCCCACAACAGTCCTTGGAGGTCTTTTGAGCTACTGTACTATGAGAAGGTGGCCAGGCGGAGAAGAGCTGCAGGCGCAAAGGCCCCGAGCCTCTAGGCTGCTCCTCCTCGCTCGCAGGACCTCGTCCCGCAGGGCCGACTCTGGTCCTGAGCCGCCCGGCTGAGCAAGGGGCCCAGGCAGAAGACAGCACTGGTTTCCAAAGCCTACTCCGCTCCTGGCTCTTGCACAAGTCTGCTGTGGTGGAACAGCCTCTGCGGGAGCCCGGCAGCCCCTGGTTCTGCCCCTGTGGCTAAGGTAGAAGGGAAAGGAACCCCAAGGGCCCAGAGACTTTCCTTGGGAGGCCCCCACTCACTGCAAGTACTTACTGTTCTGAGTTCTGGAGAAAAGGTGTTGGACCTGTGGCCCCGTTACCACCAGATTTGGGCTCTCCCCTGTGCGCCCTTTCCTCTTCTCAAGCTGATGCACCCTGCTCTCCAGCCTTCTCTGGAGTAGGTGAGGACTGTGTCTTAGGTGCGCAGGTCAGCGCGGACAGGCAGGCTGCAAGGGGCGCAGGCCCCTTGATTGTGATGTGGACAATCCCTTTCCCTTTCCCCCACCCTCAGCGGCCGGCTGAGGGCCTGGGATGGGCCACGCAGCACTACCCTGTGCCTGGCTCCCTCGAGGTGGATTTACTCTTAATGTCAGTACTTGTATTTAAGCTAACTCCAGTGGTGAGACTATTCTGTTCGCAGTTGCTCCACGTGCTGTGGGCGAAGGGAAGAATGCAGAAGACAGCTCACGTGGGTCCAGGGACGTCTTGAGTGCTTCAGTTAAGCCGCCTTGTAACCCAGTCATGATGTCCCCCACTTGTTAGAGGGAGGTGCTGTCCTGCGGAGTCTGGGTACAGGCGGTCAGGTCCCTTGGCCTGCTGACGCTCTGGAGTCCCAGACTCCACCCCGGCCCCCCACACCATCACCCTTCCCGCCAGGCCACGGGCGCCTCAGCGCCTGCTCTCCCACACCTCCACCAGCGGCTGAGATCCCATCCCCTCGTCCTTGCTCCCCAAGTAAACCACGAGGATGGGGACAGAGGTAGAGGAGGTCGGTTCCAGGTCTCCAGCATTGTGAAGGGCTGGGGGCACCATCCAGGGTCTGGCCTCCTAACGGACCTGGCCTACCAATTTCCAGCACTTGCAAGTCCCACGACTTCTTCGGTAATTCTGAGGGTGGGGGGAGGGACACAAGATCATAGCTTAGCTTCCCGTTTGTGAATGTCCATACAGTGTATTGTGTGTTTTAACAACTGATTTACATTGACTGTTGCTGTAAAAGTGAATTTGGAAATAAAGTTATTACTCTGATTAAATGAAAGCCTCAGTTCACGCATCCAAGGACACGCACGTGTGTAAGACGCGATTTCCAAGTTCTTCCCATCCTGGCACCTTGCAGGAAATGGCACTGTTCAGGGCTCTGCGGCTGTGCAGAGGTGGCGCGGCAGTCTGGCCTTGTCCACTCTGTGCTGTTGCACTCTGGTGCTGGCGACACCCAGCTCAATGGCGGTGAACGTGCTCATGCATGCCATGCCGGTGGGTTGAGATCTGGGAAAGCTGGAGTGGGTATTAGATTTGCGTTCCTAAGTCCACCTAGGAGACTAAGGCTGACGCAGAAAGCAAGCCGGTTAGCTGAATGAAGGGTTCACACTCTGTCCAGGTTTCCACACACACACACACACACACACACACACACACACACACACACACACACAGCCTTTCCTTTCTTTGGAGAATGAGGATGTTTCTACCTCGACAGGGCGACCACCAGAGGCTGGCGCAGGGGGCGCACACGTGCCTACCTCGTGGGGACCTGGTTTCACACAGCATGGGGTGGGAGAGGGAGCTGCTTGGAGCTCCTTCCAAGCCATCACAAAGGTGGTGCGTGTGGCAGTCCTGGACTTTCACACCATGTTACTTTCCTCAGATCTTCCTGATGGTTTGCCTCTCTGCAGACAGCTGCTTCCGTCAGGTGGATTTTAACCTACCATTACAAGAGCCCCACAGGCGAGCCCAAGAAGCTGTTCTCAGGACAACTGCTCTCAGAAGCATAGCTGCCTCAGGCGGAGAGCGAGAACCTGGCCCACTCGCTAACCCCCGTTCAAGGAAACTGCCCTTAGCCATTTTGAGAAAACCGACAGTTGTCAGGTGGCAGCTGACCATGTGCTACACAAATTGCTGACCCCCATTGAAGAGCAATTTAGGCACCACCACCACACTCACAGCCTCCTCAGAGAAAGGACAGTGGACAGTGACTCGGCCACTTAACAGTGACTCCACCTCCCGTCACGTGGCCTGCCTGTGTCCAGGAGACACAGAAGAACTAAGGCTCAAAGCAGACCACAGACTCACAGCAGGGCTCCAGAGAAGGCGCGCCGCCACAGCAGCACCAAGCACGCGCTCCCGCTCCCCCCCACGGCAAGGAAGGCCTGACACAGTATCTGGAACTTTTTTTTATTTTTTCTTTTTTTCTTTTCTTTTTTTTTTAAGCACTAGTCTGTGCTTTGCGAACAGAATCAAGACATTAACAAAGATCAGCTTCTCTGAAGAAAAGCATTTCTATAGAACGAAGACAGCTACATGTTTCGCTGCCAGTACACAGCTCAAAGCAGGAAAGGAAAATATTTACAAAATACGTTTTTTTTAATTTTTGTTTTTTGTTTTTTTTTTTTACAATGCTAAAAGGGTTATTCAGAATTTTCAACCTTATAAATAGAAGAAGCACTTTATGCATAGGGATATGGTGCATTATTGTTGTTTAAAGAAACAATGACAAACCCTTTAACTTGCAAACAGAACCGGAAAAAAAAAAAAAATCACTAATGTTGAAAATTGTGAAAAAACCCCCGAACCATTAAGCAGTTTGTCTACTATTTTTATACGATTACAAAATGGCAGGAAAAAAAAAGGTCCTTCCCCGCCCCTTTTTGGTGCTGTGACCACACAGGAGACAGGCACAGGGCTGACAAGGGGGTGACGGAGCAATGGACACCACAGCTGGGGCCAGAAGCACCCCACAGGCACAGGAGTGCGGTGGGAGCCGGCACAGGACTGGCGGGGAAGGAGAGCGGTTAAGTGACCCGTCAGGGGAGATGGCTTACTCCCCAAACCCCCAGGGAGAGAAGACAGGTCACAGAGTCCTAACCCCAACCTTCTGCACTGGGGCAGCAGTAAATACCTGCAGAGTGGAAGGACTCGTGTGTGGGTATGTGCACAGCAGGAGTGGGCAGGGGGAACCTGGGTGGCCACAGCCAGGTTGCTGCAGTGAGGGAGTCCAAACAGACGATCAAAGGCAGGTAAGACTGAAAGGAAGTCTTGAGACATTGCAGACGCGGGAAGCCTTTCTGCCAGCTGAGAGCTCAGAGAGAACAGCTAGCAGTTATGGCAAAGAAAGGGGTGCTGGTGGGCATACCAGCCCCACAAACTGGGTAGACCTGCCAGGAAGGCAGGCTGCGGATCAGCCAAGAGCCCGGAGCACCCGTGCTGCCCCCGCAACGCGAGGCCATGCTGAGCGACGGCAGCTCTCCCTGTCCCTGCCCATCTGGCCTTCCCACCCTGCCGCAGGTGTGAGGGAGAGGGTGATCATCTACCATTGCTACATCCAGTGACTCAACAAGGCAGAGGCCATGCCAGGACCAGCCAGGAAGGTCTTGTCCTGAACTGCTGTCTGCCAACTGGAGGAAGTGCTCAGGTGTGTGACAAGAAAACATGGAAACAAAAACAAAACAAATTAAAACAAGAAAAAAATAATACCAAAGGAGGTCTAAATTCCTTAAATTCACTAAAAACTGTGAAAATTTCCGGCATATGATGTTTGAATATCAAACGCAGAGATTTCTGAAGCTTTAATGCCAAGTTAGTGAGTCTGTTTAGATTTTCATCTCCTGCTCATCTGTGAGTCGGGCGTTGAGCTGTGACTGCTGCCGCCAGATGCCGACTCTTGAGGGGGACAACGGGAGGTGAGGTGGGTGCCACCTCTGTCTCTCGGCCAGTCTTGCTGCCTGAGGTTCGCCGTGTGCAGCGGGCGGCCCGCTCCTGTGCGTCCAGTTGGTCCTCACCCTCTGCCTGGGGACTGTATGGCAGGGGGAACGTGCGCCGCTCCCATGGTGGCACAGACTGTGGGAGACAGGGGCTGTGGTGAGGACCCACTCCACGCCCCGCGCATGAGGCAGGCCGGAGGAGCCCTGCAGGGGTGCGTTTCACCTGGCCAGAGCAGCTCCCCTGCACCTCCAATTATTCTGCAATGCTTGCCAAGTTACATCCCCAGTCTTCATTTTTTGAGGCAGGGTCTAAGTTGCCCAGGCTGGCTTGAAATACACATTTTTTCTGCCTCAGGCTCCCAAGTAGTTGAGATCACTGGCACAGGCCTACACACCGGGCTCGTTTTAACCTTCAAATACTCAATTTCAAGGGCAGCCCTCTACCCTCTCAGAACAAGGAAGGCATGTCATGAAGACCTACTTCAATAGGTGCTAGCCCCCTCCCAGTTGTACCCCCTCTCACCAGCCCCCATGCAAATGGTGTCCCTTACCTGTTCATCCAAACCCAGCTCTGGTGTGGAACAACGGGTGTCTTCACTGGCTAAGTGTCTCAGAGTATCCCGAGCCACAGGGGTGAGGGGTGCCGAGTGTAATTCTGGGCTAATGGGACTCCTAGGGGACTGACAATGGGAGAGCTCAGACAAAGAGTGGCTACTACTGACATCAGGGGAGGCGGGCTGCGGGGTGGAAGGGTTGGCACTGCCCAGCTGCGGTGTGGTCCGGCCGTCGGATGACCTGTAAGACCTGTACGCCAAGGAAGGCAGATGTTAGTGCCTGAGTGATAAGGAATTTCTTGTCTGTGAGGGGATGCAGGGTGGAGAGGCGGCCTGAAAAGTGCACCTTCACTAAGAAGCTGACACCAACAAATCCCACTTCTGACACTACTTTCCCGAGGAGCAGGTATGCAAGACCTAAGAACTGTGAGTCCTATCACCCCAAGAGAAAGCCAAGGCTCGTGAACACACGGGGATTCAGAAATTCACCCAGACCCTGAAAATCGTTGTGAACAAAACGCAGCATGCAAAACTGAAGATCACAGATCTTTCCATGTAGGAATCCGCAGGTTTTGTGCTACTGCTAAATGAGACCGTTCTCTGTGGAGGTAAGACTGGAACAGGACAGTCCCTTGCCCAAGAGAGGGTTAACCTGAGGAGGGCCTTGGAAGTGCCTCTGGCTACATTATCACAATGCCCAACTGCCTCTGAGAGCCATACCGCCTTTATGAGAGCCGGCTAGGGACTCCTGAGCACTGATTTAGCTTACACAGCCACTGTCCCTACAACACCACGCAAACACCCTCCCAGCCACTGCCAGTGAAATATGAAGAACGGGAGCACTGGCAGAACTCCAGCTCTGGCTCCGCCTCGACCCCCCAGGCCCGGGGTCGGAGCCTGCCCATCACCTGCTGCCCCGCCGCTGGGGCGGTACACTCGTGGTCCACAGCCACCGCGCCCTCTCCATCTCCTCGCACTTGGCATGCAGGGCGGCGAAGGCCGCATCTGACAGGTCTTCAATCTGCAACAGAGTGGCTTCGTTGGTTGTCATCCCCAACCCATCCTTTTCTAGGTTTGTTCTGGTCAGGACAAGACCACACTGGGCTCAGACAAGTGTTTCTTTTTTTAAAAAATACCCATTCACTCCCTCCCTCCCTCGGTACAAGGTCTTGCTACACAGCTCAGGCTCATAGTGATCCTCCTGTATCAGCCTCCCCAGTGCTGGGATCACGTGTCACCACGCCCAGTTTCCGTGCCCTAGCCCTCAGACAAGTCCTATGGCATCCTGTACACACACGAGTGAGTATAACAGCTTTACCTCCTCGTTCTCCTCATCTGGATTCCCCTTCAGAGACTGAAGATCAACCTCCCGCCAGCTGCAAACACAGAAGAAGAGCATGGATGGCACGTGTCTGATGCAGGCCCTCTTCTCAAACACCCCCAGAGGCCAGACACGGGAGCGAGCCAAATGGGTTGGGAAAGGGCATCTAACATATTCAAGCAAAGGAACAAACACTGCTAACTGGACTGGCACCACACGGCTACTCAATCTTCTGATCTTATTAAAAATTAAAAAAGCTGGGAATATTTTTATGTGAAAAACTGCTCCGATGTTGACAACAAAGAGCATTTTATTTTTTGTATTTTAAGGAAGGGTGCTCAGGGTCTTACTACTAGATTGGCCTCATAGTGATCCGCCTACTTACAGGCTCCCAAGAGCTGGGATTACAGGTGTGCGCCACCACAACCAGTCTCAACTGCTGTCTCAGTGTGCCCTGGGGGGTGGGGCCGGCATGGCAGGCCCTGGGATTGAACCCCCCCCCCCCCGCAAGCCCGCTTGCAAGATGCTTTAATCCGCTGAGCTATTTGGCCAGCCCAACAAACAGTATTTTAAAATGCACTGTATGGATTAACAAAACATGCCTACAGACCAGTAATGGACAGTGGCCTGCCAGGTTGTACCCTCTGGTCTTGTCAGCGAATTTGAATCATGGAATGAGAGAGAGCTATACACAAAAGCAATTTAATTCTTATCAAGTGATACCATCTTTCAAAGAGAAGACAGGCGCCAAGGTTAGGGTTCAGAGTTTCACCAGAAAAGAAGGGGAAGAACAGTAGAGGAGCTGGTTACTGAGGACTCTACCTGGGAGTAAGGATTTCCTTGTACTGTAGCTTCTCTACACGGGTTGTTGCAGCAACAGACATCGGGATGACAATGTTGTTAATATCGAATGAGCTCTCCCCCCTTCTCCTCCGTACTGGCTGCTGTAAGACAAAGGTTAGGGTTAAGGGGAGGTATGACTCCACCACATCACTCGTCAGAGGGTCACAGGAGGATCAGGGGTTCACTCCACCTTTGGGTCCTCGGGTGCAGCCCGGTGGTGACTGGGGCCATGACTCACACTGAGACTATTTTACTATACAGCACTTGATTAACCAATCAAGTTTTACAAAATGTGTGGGAAGTCAGTAGTCTTTGTTTTATTTTTTTTTTAGTCTTTGTTTTATTAAACACAAAGAGAAACACACAAAATATACACAAAAAACACAGTTGACACATATTTGAAAACTACGAAAGTCACACTGGAAGACTGAACCTTGACACCACAACTACTAGGAAAAAAGGGAGTAATGTAGGATGAAAAGAACTGCCTATATAGGCAGCCAACTAAAGTTACTAGAAGACAGACTGTGAGCCAAGCACAGTGATGCACACCTGTAATCCCAGCACTAACAAGGCTGAGGCAGGAGGAACACCAGGAATGTGAAGTTTGGGCTACAGAGTGATTTCAAGGTCACCCTAAATTTCATGGTGAAATTCTGTCTTGAATAATAAAACAAAAAACAGCAAACAAAATGACTGTGGTGGTGCACACCTATAACCCCAGAGCCCAGGCAAAGGCAGGACAGATTCACGTTCAAGGCAAGCCTAGACTACACAGTGAGACCTGGCCTTAAAACAAAAGACAACAGATCAATTGTCTTCCCCTACACATCAATCCATCACATGAGGATACACCAAAATGACAATCTTAGACTGTAAACCTAGATATAGCTAATAGGTTAAAGCAACACACCCAGAACTACAATTTTCTGGAAAACATGAGCCAGAGGTGAGCATCAGAAACAAATTACTGAAATTCAGAAGGGAGGAAGCACCTCATCATATTAAAAGAAAAAGGGAGCTAGGGAGATGGCTCAGTAGAATAAGCACTTGCCTAGCAAGTGCAAGGGCCTGAGTTCAATCCCCGATTCTGCCCTCTACCCCCAAAGAAAGAAAAGAAAGAAAAAAAGAAAGAAAAGAAAACAAAAGAGGCAAATAATCCTGTCTCAAAAAATAAAAACAGGGCTGGTGAGATGGCTCAGTGGTCTAAAGCACCTACTTAGAACAAGCTTAGCAAAGCACAGGGACCACGGTTCGATCCCCCAGCACCACATGCCAGCCAGCCCCGCCCCCTGGTGGGCTGAGCTGGCCACACACACACACACACACACACACACACACACACAAATAAATAAAATTAAAAAAAATAAAAACAGGGCCAGGGAGATAGCTCAGTGGAATAAGCGCTTCCCTGGCAAGCTCAAGGACCTGAGTTCAATCCCCTGTTCCACCACAAATAAATAAATAAATAGATAAAAATAAAAACAACAGGCCAGCCACCAGAGCCCAGGCATGGTGGCACAGGCCTGTAATCCCATTGATGGTGAAGCTAAGATAGGAGGATCACTACTAATCCAAGCTGCGTAGTGAGACCCTGTTATCAAATACATTTAAAAAAACAAAAACAACAACCTCCCCCCCCCCCATTTCTTTGCATATCGTCACTGTCTTTTAAAATGCACTTTGGGAGGGGGCTATTATCGCATTCTGTAGCTCAGGCTGGCCTTGAACTCCCAGGGATCCTCCTGCCTCAGCCTCCCTAGTGCTGGTCTAGAGGTGTGCACCAGCACGCCCCACCTAAAAGGCATGGTATTTCAGACCTTCCGTTCCGATGGGAAACATGTCATACTCAGTTCTGTGCTTGAGGCTATACCAGTAACCTGCAGACCAAGGGATTACAGGCACTTGCTACTGCATCCAGTCTCAACTGCCCCTGAGCACGTCCTGGGGCAGGGCTGGGACAGCAGGCCCAGAGATCAAACCCCAGCCCCCGTGCTTGTTTGCAGGTGCTTTCATCCACTGAGCTATGTGGCCGGCCCCCAAACTTTTTTTGTGTATGTGTGGAATGGGGGACTGAACGCAGGCCCTGGCCAAGCAAGTGCTTATTCTACTGAGCCATCGCCCCAGCCCCACCTCCCAAACTCTTAAAAAAAAAACAAACACACAAACCTTTCAATGTTTATTAGTTGTTATATTGGATATTGTGAATTTTTGCTTTGTAAGGCTCTGTCATGCTTATGACCCAGGGTAGGTTAATCAGGTGTAATTTTTTTAGCTGAAATTTTTATATTTTTCAGAAAAATCAATGATTTTATTGGGCACTTCACAATTAAGAAAAATTTTATTAGTGTATTTTAGACATACATAATAAACACCCACCGTGGGGAGTCTGTACCTGTGCGAGGTACGTCTCCCTTTTTTTTCCCATTTCCCTCTGCTCCCTTCGATCCTTTTCTGTCTTTGTTTCAATTTTTTTCTATTCTTTTGCCCCTTCCTTAAAAATTAATTTTACTAATAATTTTAAAAATATCTTAAGTTTATATTACAACTGCGTTAAAAGTAAACAGTTTTTATTACATCCTATTATAATACAGTGTTTTTCTTTCTTTTTTTTTTTAAATGAAGTACACTGATTTATTTATTTATTT